ACTGAGGATATGACATTAGGCAGCAGTAATGTCATTACTGGATTTAAGGCTATGGGAAGTAAAAATCCTGTAGGCTTAATTCCAGATACTCACAGGCGTCACTCACATTATGAGTTAAGCGGCTGTGATACTGCGACAACAGCGGCGTCTGACCCAGAGTGGGCGGCTGCAAACAGCGTCTGTTCCCAGAGTGGGCGGCTGAAACGGAAACCTTGCCAACACGCAGTGGCTCGCGTGGCATTGAACTTAGCCAAAAACCCTTACAAATGTCAAATTTTAAAACAAAACGGAAACTACCCCAGGTGAGTAGACACTCTCACACTGATTTATCAGTCTGTCCCAAGGATTCTGGGGGGGACACAAATTTGACAAGAGCATGCTTTAAAAAACAAACAGTTCTCAAAATTGCAACCATGAATACTAGAACTCTACTTTCTGATGAAAGCTTTAAAGAAATGGAAGAAGAATTAGAAAAGATCAGATGGGACATCGTCGGAGTTAGTGAAGTGAGAAGGCGAGGTGAAGGCCTCGAGACCCTAAAATCCGGTCACTTGTTTTACTATCACGGAGAACAACATAAGTCAGTAGGAGGCGTCGGATTCTTCATAAACAAACAGCTAGCAGGAAATCTAAAAACTGTCCAATCAGTATCCACTAGAGTTACATATGCCACCTTTAAAATAAATACTAGATATAATCTAAAAGTTATCCAAGTCTATGCTCCAACAACAGAATATACAGACGAGGAGATCGAAGTCTTTTATGATGATTTAAGTACAGCCATCACAAACAACCGCACACATTTCACAGTTATATGTGGAGACTTTAACGCCAAAATAGGAACAAAACTGGATCCAGCAGAAACTGCTCTTGGAAATTTTGGAAGTCAGGGACGGAACGACCGTGGCGACACTCTTTTAAACTTCCTACTAGAGAAAAACCTATTCCTAATGAACAGTTACTACTACAAGAAACCTCACCGCAGATGGACGTGGAAAAGCCCAGATGGGAACACGACAAACGAGATCGATTACTTTATCACTGATAAAAAATACATATTTACAGATGTGACAGTGCTAAATAAATTTGCGAAATCAAGCGACCATCGTATGGTGAGAGCCACCATTGTGTTAAATACCAACTATGAACGACACAATATGATAAAAAAGAAGCAAATAAACAGATGGACACATCCAAACAACGAACAAAATTTTGAAGATCATATCGGTAAATTCCTTCAAGAAAAATCATCAACAAATGATATTAACATTCTAAATGACATAATAGTAGAAGCAATAACAGAAGCTCAAAAGAAATGCTGCCCAAAAAGCGTGAAGGAAGAAAAAATTAGTCTGGAAACACAGAAAAAAATGGAACAAAGAAGAATACTGAGAAGCGACGAAAACTCTAGTAACGACGATATAAATAGAATGAACAAGGAAGTATCAAGAGAAATCAGAAAAGACTTAAGAAAATACAAAGATGAGAAAATCATCAAAACCATTGAGGAAAATAAGAGTATGAAAATAATGAGACGCAAACTCACAAATGGAAATAAACAAATAGTCAAACTCAAGGATAGAAATGGCAACATCACATCAAACAGAGAACATTTGTTACAAATTGTGGAATCATTCTATGAGACATTATATAGCAACCAATCGACTCTATGTAAAGTCTAATGACTCTTTTACTGATCGGTGATCAGTAAAAAAAAATTCAACATATCGACCTGCATATTGAAGACGAACGTATTGAAAGAGTACACCGATTTAAATATCTGGGATATACAGTAAATGACAAGTGGGACCCAGAAGTAGAGATTAAGATCCGAATTGAAATAGCAAGATCCAAATTCATCAAAATGAGAAAGCTCTTAAGCAACCGCAACCTAAGCATTAACCTCCGATGGCGCGCCACGAAATGCTACGTACTCTCTACGCTACTTTACGGCGTAGAAGGGTGGACGTTAACAGCAGCAACTATAAAGAAGTTAGCGGCTCTAGAAATGTGGCTGTATCGACGCATACTGAGAATACCTTGGACAGACAGAGTGACCAACACAGAGGTATTAAGACGAATGGGTAAAGAGGTGGAATTGTTAACAACTGTTAAAAGGAGGAAAGCGTCATACCTGGGCCATGTGTTCCGTAATGATAAGTACAGTCTGCTACAGCTTATCGTGGAAGGCAAGATTGAAGGTAGAAGAGGTTTGGGCAGAAAGAAGAAATCCTGGCTGAGAAACTTGAGAGAATGGTTTCAAATACCAGAAGCTGCGAACATAATTCATGCGGCACAAAACAGAGAAACCTATCGTATGATGGTCGCCAACCTTCGGTAGAAGACGGCACATAAAGAAGAAGAATCGACTCTAGATATAGTCGAATATCAACAGAGGAAGGTCCAAAATCAGGGTTCCGAAGATATTCCAGAAATCTCCTTGGACGAAATTTACAAGGCTCTAAAAAAGATGAAGAATAACAAAGCTCCGGGGGAGGATGGTGTCGTCACGGAAGCGATAAAGTTAGGAGGCTCAGTACTGATAGCCAAAATTCAAAAGCTCTTTAATCTATGCCTATGGAATCAAAATATCCCAACAAAGTGGAATAACTCAATAACTGTACTCTTACACAAGAAGGGAGATATAGCAGACCTGGAAAGATACAGACCAATCAGTCTCCTTAACCATCTTTATAAATTATACACCCAAATAATAACGAATAGATTAGAGACACAGCTGGATTTTTACCAACCTCGGGAACAAGCTGGTTTCCGCCCTAATTATGGCACAAACGATCACCTGCAGTGCCTAAAAACCCTAATAGAAAAAACTAACGAATATAACCGTCCCTTGGCATTGATATTTGTAGACTTTAAAAAGGCGTTTGATACAGTGGAACTACCGTCCATCTTAAGAGCACTACAAGATTGCAGGATCGACCACAGATATTGTAATATAATTAAAAATATATATGAAAATGCCACAACAACCATAAGTCTATATTCTGCAACTAATAAAATAAAGATAAAAAGGGGAGTCAGGCAAGGTGATACCATGTCACCAAAGCTGTTCATTACCGTTCTTGAGTATGCATTTAAAAGACTAACATGGCAACAGAAAGGAATATCCATCGATGGAGAAAGATTAAACCATCTACGTTTTGCGGACGATATCGTGCTTCTGTCAGATAATCTGGGAGAGATCAAAGACATGCTCCAAGAACTGAATGACATACTACAAGAAACTGGGCTGGAGATAAATTTTGAGAAAACCAAAATGATGACCAATATGGTTCCCAGCGAAGAGATACAGATCAATAACAACAAGGTAGAATTAATCGATAAATACACATACTTGGGTCATGAAATTAGAATAACCAGAGACAACCAAACCTGCGAGCTAAATAGACGAATCACGTTGGGATGGGCGGCATATGGACGGATGAGAGACATTTTTAAAACAAATATCCCAATTCACCTGAAAAGGAAGGCATTTAACCAATGCATCTTACCAGTCTTGACCTACGGAGCAGAGACCTTAACTTTAACGAAAGCTACTGCCGAAAAACTGAGGGTAACACAAAGGCGAATGGAGAGATCAATGCTGGGCCTGACCTTGAAAGATCGCGTAAGAAATGAGGAGATACGCCGACGAACTGGCGTAGACGATATTATACTGCGAATCAATAAACAAAAGTGGAGGTGGGCTGGACATGTTGCTAGAATGGAAGACGGAAGATGGACGAAGAGATTATTGGAGTGGAGACCAAGAGCCGACAAGCGAAGTCGAGGCAGACCACCCACCCGATGGACCGACGACCTAAAGAGAATAGAAACAAACTGGATTGCAGCAGCTAGAGATAGAGAGAACTGGAGACGTTTGGAGGAGGCCTATATCCAACAATGGATGTGAAAATTCGGCTGGATGATGATGATGATGATCTTTTTGGTCCAAGGCTGGTTATGAGGGATATAAATAGGGGTCATGTTATAGCAATTTATATTGTTAATAACTAGTGTAATTTACGGTCAATTGGGCATACCGAGGTAGATTTTCTATGGGCAATACTTGTGTGTGTCTGGCCACAAGATTGGCAGTTGGATTTAAGGGTTAGCAGAGACCTTTGCAAAGTAATTCAAAAGAAGTCTTTGTTTCCTAATATTCAGGGGATGTTCGCAGGCTTCGATATGAAGGCTTTCAGATGGGCTAGATCTACAGAGTTTGGAATAAAACTTGTAATGGACACTTAAAATGTTCTATCTGTTAAAAAGTTATTAATTAATGTCGATATGTTACCTTGTAATTTGAGGTCATGAAGTTTTTCGAGAATTACTGATTTTGAAGTATGATCGAAAGCACTTACAGTAGTTTAACCATGTTGTCCATAGTACATTTATTTTATTTAAATCCTGACTGAAATGGATTTAATAATGTGTGCTGTTCTAAATACCAGTTGAGGCGATTAATTATCATTTTTTCTTAATGAACAAGTTAAATAAATAGGTCAAAATGAACTCGGTAATGCTAAGGGGGAGTCATTGTTTTTAATTTATATCATAATGCATCTCCTCCAGAGACTGGGAAGCTGTGATTCGTCCATAAGGTATTAACAGATCTAATAATTTTCTTAAAGTATCTAAGTGTAGTTTTTTTAATAAATATTGGAGGAATATTATCTGGTCCGGCAGCAGAACCTTTTAGAAAGTTAGTAACATCGTACAGTTTCAGTCTAGAGTAAACGGTAGGTTAAGTGGATCGAGGAAAGGTGAAAGGGGCTGAGGAGGTGCTATTTGTCTTGTGTCTGTATATGACTAATTATGTTTCTGAATTTGTCAAAAAAATATTGTGCAAAGGTATCACACATTTTCTGGTCGTCTGTTATAACACTATTTTCGTTGGTCTTCTTCTTAGAGTGCCATATCCATACGGAACGTCGGCGACTACCATGCTTATAATATTATTATACTGATCTCGGTCTTGCGCTACGTGTAGCAATTGGTCCGCTGTCAAACCTGTCCACTGCCGCAAATTCCTCAACCAAGAGAGTTTCTTCCGTCCTATCCATTTCTTTCCTTCGATTTTACCGTTGAGAATTAGCCGAAGGAACTCATATCTTGGTCCTCTGATTATATGTCCAAGATATTCTAGTTTACGCCTCTTAATAATATTTAATAGAGTTCGTTGATGTCCCATTCTTCGAAGAACTTCTTCGTTTCTGGTTCTGCTAGTCCATGGAATTTTTAGTATCCTTCGATACAACCACATCTCAAACGCCTCGATTTTATTCATGATATCGGCGTTTAAAGTCCAAGTTTCACATCCATACAAAAGTACAGACCACACGTAACATCTTGTAAACTTTTCACGGATTTCCAAATTTAATGAGTTATTGGATAATAGAGGCTTGAATTTTTGAAATGAGTTTCTTGCCTGTTCAATTCTACATCGAATTTCGAAGGATGGATCTAGATTTTGGGTAATCCAACATCCAAGGTTAGGTGGACAGAGTAGAGAAACTCGTGTATCTCGGCAGTAATATCAATGAGAGCTGGGATCCAACCGTAGAAATTAAAAGCCGAATAGAACAAGCCCGAGCTGCCTTTGTAAAAATGAGAAACGTACTTTGCAGTCACGATCTTAGCATTGACCTTAGAGTTCGTATGATATCTTGCTACATCTTTCCTGTCCTGCTGTATGGAGTAGAAGCGTGGACCCTAACTGAGGCTATGCTTAAACGCTTGACAGCCTTTGAAATGTGGGTATACAGACGACTACTGAAAATAAGCTGGGTCGACAGAGTTAAAAATGAGGAGGTCCTTAGACGGCTGAACCAAACAACACAACTGGTCAATATAATAAAGAAACGCAAGCTGGAATACTTCGGTCATATTATGAGACACCCTGAAAAATATGATCTTTTACATCTGATCATTCAGGGAAAGATCCAAGGTAATCGTGGTCCTTGTAGAAGAAGAACATAATGGCTGAAAAATCTAAGGCAATGGTATGGAAAATCAACTACATCATTATTTAGAGTTGCTGTCAATAAAGTCACGATAGCGAATATGGTAGCCAACATGATATCCAACGATCGATAACGGTCATGGAACTAGAAGAAGAAGAACATCCAAGGTATTTGAATCTCAGAACTCTCTGCAGCGGTTGTTGGTTTAATATCAGTTGGGTTGCGCCGATATCCACTTTACTGGTCACCATGTATTTAGTTTTATCGATATTTATCGACAGTCCCCAATTTGTGCATTCCATGTCAACTCTATTGATTAGCTCCTGCAGATCGTCGATGTTTTCAGCTAGAATCACAGTATCGTCGGCGTACCGTATATTGTTAATTATTTCTCCTCCTATGATAATTCCTTTTTGATCTTTTAAAGCTTCCCTAAATAGATTCTCAGAATACACGTTAAAGAGGGTGGGAAATAGTATACAGCCTTGTCTTACGCCTCGTTCAATAAAGAGCGGGTATTTTACATGTTGTGTTGCGTCCATTAATTTGTTTTATTTTGTTCCATACTTAAGTTGGATAACTTCCATAACAAGAATCCCGTTAACTTTCTTTTAATACTCGTTTTGATTTATCCTTTAGTCTCTTGAAATTAATTAAATCCCTACTGGTCGTGTTCTGCGAAATTTGTTTAAAGCCTTCTTACTACCTTTTACTGCTAGATTGTAGGATAGATTCCACCATGATACGGATTTTTTGGAAGGATTGAAAGAAGAAGAAATGAGGGGAAATTGTTCAACATCCGTATCAGCATTGTTTTGAAAAACTTAACAGCTGCGCTGAATAGTTCCCAATTAGCTTTAGAGATATTCCATTTGCTCTTAGTAAAGGTCGGTTTAACTTCAATATTGGTGATGAAGATAGAGAAGTGATTACTGTCATAGAGACCATAGAGCGTGTACCAGGTAAGAAGAGGAGCTGTTTTAAGATCATTAATGCTCAGGAAAATTGAATAGAAGGAACCAGATTGAGTATGAAAATACGTGCTACTTCCTGTATTTAAAAGGTTAACATCGTGATTAATGAGAATATCCTCAATAATTTTACCTATACCAAACGTATTTTTAGATCTACATGACAGTACTATGGGCGTTAAAATCTCCAACTGGAATTGGAGATATTAACGGAATTAGAGATTTTTATTTTATTTAGAATAAATGGAGCTGGGAGTTGGTTAATGGAATTTGAAACTTCAGCTTTGGTGAGATTATAGTTAGGAGGAATATAAATATTACATATAACAATTTTGTTGGGACACCATGCAGTTAGAGCTATAGCTTCTAGAGTTGTGTTTAATATAAATTTTTGGTGAAAAACGTCATTTGAAATAAAGATAGAGGATCCACCGTTGGCTTTTAAATGTGTTGTCGTAAGAAAATGATAGCTAGCGTAGTTTTTATGATATGGGTTATATGTTAAAATAAACTTGGTTTCTTGTAAGCAGCGAAAGTCAAGGCAGTGGTCTGAAATGAATTGTCGTAAAAACGTTCTAGACGGGAAAAAAACCCGTCTCAATTACTTACTTACTTTACTTACCCGTCTTACTTACTTTACTTTATCGTCTCCGCACATGTCATTCATAAAATTTCGGCCCAGTATCGGGCTACGTCGGTTCCATCTTTGTTCGTCTTTGAGGGTACATAGATGGGACAGTTTCTGCATGTAAGCAGATGTTCCATATTTTGTGTTTCTCCACAGTCACAGTTCACATCATCTTGGTCTATTTTTCCCCATTTTGCCATGTATGATTTTACTGTAGCGACCCCCGTTCTTCTCCAATTCATAGTTT